ACACACATGCACACACATGCACACACATGCACACACATGCACACACACATGCACACACACATGCACACACACACCTGTATTTTAGATATATATATCTAAGTATCTAGCTATCTATATATAAAAATAAAATACAGGTCAGTATCTACTTTCCATTTGTTGGTAAAATGATTTCTGGGGAAGCCAGCATGTCTAATTCCCTCAGAGTCTCATTGATTCTTGGCAGTCTGGCTTCAGACTGTACTTTGACTGTAATTTCATCTCAAAAGTGAATGAGAAAAAATATAACCAGAACGCTACATCAGTTTTTCTTGACACAATTTCAACATACAGGTTTGGGTAATTACTGACCAATAACTGAGGGCTATCATATTGTTATGCCACTGAGTTATTATTCTTCTGTTACAGGACTAAGAATGCGTACAAAGGTTTGATGTTCTCAGTATGCTGACGAATTCTGAATTCCTTTAGGGTTCATTCATCTGGCTCATATACAACACTTCCTTCAATACTGATTAAAGATAAAGAGTTTATAGGAAGATGAGCACGCAGATGGATTAAGAAAAACCTGATGTTGAGCTTGTAGGAAAAATGGAGTGACCAGAGGATACGCTAAGAAATGCAGCAGCCCTTTAGTTGATCAATTTACAAGATACAAGAATCAAGTTACAAGATTTTCTCATCTATGACCGTGGATGAATCATAGGTTGATGCATTATTATTGATGCATATTATGCAGAAGTATCCAGATCTTCCCCATGATGCACAAAGAGACAGGAAGCTGAGACTTCTTTTTTTTCTAGAAGACTCTGCTAGTGTAAAAAGTTAAACATGTAAGTAACCTACTCCATTCAAGTTTCAAACATGGCAGTGTCCTCAAATCCAAAGATGACACAAAGGAAATTCAGACTTTTAAGTGTATCAACAGTCAGTTTTTGCCCATTTCACTAGGAAGAAAAAGTCCCTTCAATCCTTATTTATATATAATTCCTGCTCTGCTCCCCCAGTGATATTTAAACACTTCCAAGTATCTGTACTGTCTGTCTTCAAGACACATATAGTTACTGGTATATGTAATATGAGCAGAATAATTGAATTTTGCTCCCCATCCTTATTCATTTCAGCATTTTTTCTAAACACCAATAATTCTCTTGATAAAGTACAACAGATCAGATGGCATTAATTAAGCAAAATGCTAATTCTAGTGCTTTGGTATTTTTCTCTCACATATTATAGCTGAGAAAATGCTTTTTTTTTTTTTTTTTTTTATAATCAGATACCTCAAAACCTGTTTATTTTCAGAAGCAATATTCTTTGAGTATCTAGAGTCTTCCTTTTGACAACAGCTCTTCTACTGATTTTTTTTTCTCATTGGATGCATTACAAAAGGCAAGCTTAACATCATGAGCAGCCAGTAAGGCACATACTGTGACTAACAACCACAACGCACATTAAAGGCAAGCAGCACACACGTGTCATACAGCTGGCACTGAACAGCTCTGCACTCAGGCAAACTTTTACCATGCCTGTTCATGCTAACCATGGGGCTGAGATGACATCAAGTGTCAGGGCTCCCAGATTTATCGGGTATTACCACATAAGAGGTCAGGGTAGTTCTCACTGGAGCCCTCCATCACCTTACCAGCAGCAGGGTGATGACCCAGGCTTGCTGTGGCCAAACCATTTGTGTGGCCAAACAGCTTAGCTACACTTGTAACGCTCTTCTTCCTTTGTTTGGCCTTCACAGGCTGCGGTGTCGTTTGGGCAGAAAGCCGACCCTTTCACCCTCCCTTTTTGGAACCAACAGGCTTATTCCCTTCTGCAGAAAGAAGAATTAACAGCACGAGCTGCAAGTGGGAAAGAAGTAGGGACAGAGACTTACTATGGTCGTGTTGCCTTCAGTCACTTCCACGACTACACAAAACAAAAATAAAGGAGAAAAAGACAAGAAATCAAAATGAGACTCATTTCTCCTTAATAAAAATTAAAAAAGAAAAAAGCAGTAAGTGGTGGGGTGGTGGTGACACAGAGCAATGTTCCATCGCGGTGCGAGACCAGAGCGAGAGGGCAGGCCGGGGACCGGAGCGATACAGAATGATCCCGGAGCACTGCCCCGACCCCCGAGCAGCCCTTTGTCGACGGCCACTCCTGCACTCACCCTCCCGGAGGGTTCTGGCCGGTGGTGAAACCCAGCCGCTCCCCCAGAGCCCGGCGAACAGCCGCCTGAACGCCCCGCGCACCAAGCTGGGTGCCGCCATCTTGTCGTCGCCCTCGCTGCCGTCACTCCCGCTTCCGCCGGCGGAAAGGCGGGCTCTAGGGCGCCATGTTGAGGCGCGGCAGTTCCCCGCCCTTATCACCTGAGGGAAAAGAGTAGTGTGAAGTGAAGGGCTGCTGCCGTTTTGAGGTTCTCCTGACTCTCCAGTTGATCTATAGCAAAGTGCATTCAGTGAGTTTCCTCAAATTCTTGTTTGATGACAATAAATGTGTGTTGATGCCATTGGCTTGTACCAGCGGTATACAGTGCTCATGCAAAACATTGTGTACATTTTTTCCCAAGTTTCTAGCTAAAATGCGATGTGAAATATAAATTGTGACCTAAATGTAGTATACAACAAAATGGGTAATGAACTGTGATCATTCTATCTCAGGAGTTCTTTCATCACCTTCCTTTTGTTTGTTACACTTGCTTCTTGTTACAATACAGTTTGAAAGCAAATGCCTCTCAAAGGGCTACATGTTCTGTTTTTGTACTCCTTGATAAAACCATGCAGGTTCTTCAGGTGCTGTCATCATCTCTTTAGTTTGTAGAATGGGTTACCAGATGAGAAAATTACTGGAAATCCCTCTCTGTGGTAGTTCTAAGTCCACAACTCCAAGACTTTTCTGAAGTAATCAGAATGAAGGCAGGGCTTCTGACCAGACTCGCTGTGCTCAATGCTAAGCAATGAAAACAGGGTCATCCCAGAAGATAACTATTCCTCTCTTGCTGAACTACGCTGTATAATGTCCTCTAGAAGCAGAGTGATTTTCAGCTTGTCCAAAAGCTTAGAAATAAGAGCCAAACAAAATAATTACTGCCATCCAGTCTGAGGATAATTTCCTTATGAGAAAAAGCAACGTTGCTAAACACTGTAGAAATGTCACATTTTTAAGATTTTCTTTGTATAGAGAATTTTATCCTAATGAAAGGAGTTTGGCTGTAACAACCTGGCAGGAGAATTTATTCAGTGTCTTAAATTAAACCCAGTTTCCTCTATTTGTCTCATGTGAAGAGGAAAACTGTAAGGCTGACTGTTTCGATGGGATAGAAACTGACGGTTGGAACGCAGTGCTGGCTCTCCATGGTAAAGATAAGAAAACAGGGCTGGGTGCTGTTCAAGAGCTTTACCATGTCATTTGACTTTCAGTGATGACATTTAAGCAGCACTGTGGGTTTTGGTCTGACAGAGACAACCAACATGGTGATAGTTCAAGTAACATTGAACTCCACTTGCTTCTCTTGCCTGCAGATAAGTGCTGTCCCTTATAGTAATTTAAGTGACACATCTTTTAATGCAAAGAAGGAAAACAGTTGCTTTCATAAATAATTGTTTTTTTGTAGAGTGAATCCTCTCTATCTCCAAGAAATTTTCTTTGCCTTCCGAGTGTTTTCTAGAACCACTAGCAATGCAGACCATTTTGTCCAAAGGAGACAAATAAAGTTGGTGCCAACTTGGGTTGAAGCCCATTGTCTCTTTCCAAGTTTGGAAATCTGACATATTTCTGATTTCTTACAGATAATTTCTGAGTGTGCTTATTTCATCAAGCCCTCGTATTTGGGGGTAAAATAAAAAATAATCCTGAATACTGTGTGTGTGTACAAAAGAAAATAAAATGACTTGCTTTCTGCAAGTAATTTCATCCATGGTCTGTGTTTTGTCAGCACTGCAGAGGGTGGTCCAGTTTAGATAGAAGCACACGTTTCTAAGGAATGGAATGGGATGTCACTGACCGTTAAAGAACGAATGCTTTTCCTTTTGAATTAAAATTAAACCTGTGCTCACAAGTGGGGGGGAAGGGAGGAGGTTGGCAGAAGTAAAGAAGTAGCATATTTTAGATGAGAAATGTATGTCCTAATTGATTATGGCCTCTAAAGATTTTATGGCTCTGTTCTCAAAGAAATGGTATTCTGAACTCCTTTGGGACTAGGCGCTGTAGGTGTTCTATAAGACTTTTTTTTTTTTTTTTTCATACAAACTTGTGTTCTGCTTTTTGTTATTGTTTGGAAGATGGAGCATGTTTGCTTTTTTCTTATTTGCTATAACACATTACTACTTTCTGCTTCTAGCAACAAAGCAACTTTTCTGGTCCTTTGGGCATTTTTTGATCCATTGGATGCTAATAGATGTATATCTGCTCCAGAGCTTTACTTTGCAAATATTTTACAAAGGCTGAGGCTGTTCCAATGAAACAACATTAAAAGTCATAGAAATTGAGGTGGAAAAAGCTACTAGGTCATGCAGTTCCCACACAGGCCCCCCAGACCAGTACAGGTTTGTTTCCAATGGTACATTTTTGGTGCTTTCCAGAAGGGGTCACTGCAGGTCAGCGTTCACTTCATCCAACGGCCTGTCTCCCTTACCCATTGAAAAATTGGGAAACATTCTCGATCTGGTGATGACTATGTTGCAAAATGTCTAGAATTTTAGTGATAGCATGTAAGTTGATGCTGAGCGACCAGAAGTGGAATAAATTTGTTCAAGTGCAACAACTGGTCATCTAAGCTTTTAAATGAGGAAAATTAGTGAGCTCTTCAAAATGGCTTGTTAGCCACACATGCTTATTAATTGCTACAAATCCTCAGAGCTGGAGCCACCCAACTGTAAGGAGTAAGACATTCACAGGTTTGTCCTTTCAGGTAGTTAATACTTAGAAATATCACATTTTATAGTTAGATAAGAATAGCTCAAATAATTCAAATGAAACTACTGATTGGAAAAAAAACAAAAGGAAATAAAACTAATAAAAACAAACAAAAACCCAGAAAACCCAAGAACCTGCAAAAGTGCCCCCCTGCACCCCCACTCCAAGTGTGGGTAAAAGAAGGGAATAATGAACAGTCATGTTGCACCAAGACTTCAGTTCATCATTACTCAACCATTCAGAGCCAGTGGGACACAAGGACCTCTCTGAAGATTGTCCAGTGTCGCAGCCTGTTAGAGATCAGAGGCTGCTGCAGGGTTCATCTCTTGCATGTGAATCAGGTGTCCTGGTTGAGAGTAGCCAAATGCTTGTCAGCCTGCAGAACCTACCCATTCCACAAATGAACAGCTAACCCCAACTTCTTGCATCCGTGTACTGGGAACTACCTTCTGAAACAGACTTGAGGAGGTAGGAGAGAATGATACTGGGACAGAAATTAATAATTTGAAGTGTGGGGAGGGATGAAAAGTTGGCTGGAAAGAAGGAAAAGCTGCAAAGAGAGCAGGAGTATAGAGCGAAGCAATGGTACTCTAGCAGGAAAATGAGCAACTCACTTGGAAATAACATGTTTATATTTTTAAGGTTTCCATCTTTTCCCAGTGGATATAGTTATTTTTCAAAGCAAAATAACCAAGTAATAATTTTATTATGTTTCCTTCCAATATTTCAGGCTTAGCGTAAACAAAAAAATCCACTGGGAAAATGAATCCAACTTCTTCTGCCAATACCGCTTCAGTTCTGTTTCTTCCACTACCTGCCTCTCTCCTTACATATTTTAGATGCTTCTATTCTCATACCCAGTATCTGTGGCATTACTGATACCAGTTGAAATACGTTGGTGAAGACAGTTGTTAGAGGGAAAAGCCTTTAGGTTCAATGAAATTCACTTCTGATACAGAAATAGGAAGTTCTGAGATTTTCAGTGTTTAAAAAATATCAGTGGCTTTTGACATTTTGGGAATGTTCCATATAGGCAAGTAAGTCAAAACGATGGAAAATAACTGAGCTGCTTGCACTGAGATTTGATCTCTGGAAATTAATATTTGGGTTGCATGGAAGAATCAGAAGAAAAACTCTTTAACAACACCATAGACATCAGACCGGCAACAGTCCAAAGCTTTAATCTTTCCAGATGTTGTGTGGGCTTTTCTTTTTTTTTTCCCCCAAGCCAGGTGAAGGAGAGCCTTCAGAAAAACGCCATGAAAAATACTAAATCTGTTAAGGCAGGGTTGGCATAAAGACCGATATTAAGTCTTCAGATACCTGAAATGCAAGCAATCCTAATTTGTGTTAAATGAAGACAGAAGGTTTATCAGGGCCTTAAAACAACGTTTGCGTCTTCAGACATTTCCAGACAGAGCCGTAACAAATGCTCAGTTTGATTTCAACAACAGACATGTTTGTACGTGGTGAGGATGGGCAGTAGGAGACCAGGAGTTCTCCGGTTCATTCATCTGAGAGCAGCCCTGTAGCAGTCTTTCACTGGGGAGCCTTGAAAGCCTGAACCAGCTGTCTGCATCCGTGTTTTGTGCTGTCAGTTGTAGCGTGTGCAGCCTTGACTCAGTTTCTCCCTTGTTGCGGCCAAAGCCCAAGGCTTCCCAGATAGGCCTTGGAACAGTGTAGGCAAAATGAGTGATGCCCAAACTTGCAGCAAACTGATGTGCTGCTGTAGCAGCTGCTTCACTGAGTGTCTACTGTGGGTATACGTATAGTCCGTGTTCCCAGCATGTGCTCCAGAGCATGGGAGGATCCACAAGCACAGGTTCTGATCACTCGGGTTAGAATTTACATGAAGCTGTGCTGGGCAGGCTCTGCAGCCTGTTTCAGTCAGGAATCAAACACTTATGCTTTCTTTCTTTCTTTCTTTCTTTTTTTTTTTTTTTTTTTCTTTTTCTTTTTTTTGGTAAATATGAGTCAGGACTGAAATTGTTTGCAGTAGAGAGTGCAAGCTGGATCTATATTTTGTGAGTAGAGGCTCTGCCAGAATGACAAACTTTGCAGTCCCCCTCTTGCTTTTCTTCCTGTTTTTAACTCCATGAGTTTGGAACGGGGGAAGCCCATGTTGTGCTCTGATCTTGGACCATGATGGGACGTGATGGAGAGATCTCCAGCAGGGTTTTCCTCTTATGGCTCCTCCAGCCAGATGGCTTCAATCTACTGACCAATTCTCTGTGCTTTGTGTGAGGTCTGCATGCAATTTAGATGGAGCCTGTTCTCAGCTAGTTTTGCCTTTTCTTCGCTCCCCCTCCCCCACATGCACGTAACATTCCCAACTGACCCTTTTCGTGCTCCCCTTTTTCTCTAGCCATTAA